GCTGATAAATTGAGATGTAGCTTAATGAGTTTGATGGGCCATCTTAAGATTCAAGCTAAGGAGAACACACGTTCTGCTGCAGACATGCTTACTTTCACGTGGAAACTTTCTTGAGAACAAACCAAAATGAAATGGATAAAACCTGGCCAAAGCAGTTCCTCTTCAAAGTGAAGCATGTGCTCTGCAGAGTTCACCACACCCTGATGAAGAATGTCAGGTTGAGAAACCTAAGTGAGTTCAGCTTTATTTCCAAAATAATGCTCTTTCCCTTTAATCAGAGAGACGTAAAACAGGTTGAGCTCTGCAAACTCAGCCTAGAAACATTCTTATTACATACAACACAGAGATGAATCATCACCACAGCAGATTTCAGTTCTTGTAAGAATTGCTTTGCAAGGCTGGAGCTAGAACTGCAGGGTTTGTGTTTCTTTCCCTTGGTGGTATGAAGGATAACAGAGCAAAATATTAGTCTGTTACATTTTCTTTTACCCCCTCCCCGTTTCTTTTGCATTAAAACTAATCTTCCTAAAACTGCTGCATAGTTCACTGCAGTGGCTGATGTGTTAAAATGATCAGTCAGCAAGAACCTGTAGATAATTGTTGGTGTCTGCGAGCTGGCAATAAACATTTGTTTTTCTTTCCAGTGCTAGTTGTCTATTTAGCTTCAAGACAGGGGGGAATTTGTAGAAGTATGTTCTTATTGATTAGGCCAGGAGAAGTGCTTCTGGACTCTCTGGGGTTGCTTTCAGAAAATGTCACCCAAAGAGAGAGACTCAGTAGTTCATGTGGTTTGGGGGTACCAGATCAAGAAAAACATGAAAACATCATTGTGAATGTTTTCCCACATTTTGAACCACATACAGAAGAAACACAGAAATTTGTATTTGTCATGCGGGAAGTAGACTTCACGTGCTATTTTCAAGGCATGACAGCTCTTTTTTGAAGGCACCGTTTGGAACACGAATCACGGCAGGCTAAGGAAAGACTGAATCTGGCGATTCAAAGTTTTGGCTTAACTTACTGCTGAGCAAGGAAGTTTATTTCCTTATGTGTGAAGCACAGAGAGTGTTTACACTTTTGCAAACTGGAAAACGCATGAGGGAGTAAAATCAGAAAGGCAGGAAATTGGAGACACTCTTAGTCCTAGATCTCTAATGAAGTCCATCAGTTTCCCAATGGCTGCAGTCAACAATAGGCTATTCAGAATGTGTTTAGATGGTGCAATACAAGAGGTAGTCATGCTACCTCTGAACGGAGTTAGCTTTAATAGCAGAGTAACAAAGCTGCTGTTATTATTGTGTACTGTCTCAATTAATTATCTTGCTCATAAGCTACAGTGAGCTCTGTACTGACATGGGTGGGCTCTTTCTGGTCTCTAGATTAGCTCAGGGGTCTTCTCACATAGCAGGGAGTTTTAGAAGGCAGGCACTTATTTTCCTTTTTCCAGTAGTCACATATTACTGCATTCACTGTGGGTAGTCTGGACTCTCACAAATCGTTGCTGATTGACATACAGAACACTGTAAATAGAGGCACTGTCCTTTCTCTGCTTGAGATAGGCATGAAAACATGGGTTCCTTTTGCCTGTTTGGGGGAGCAAGGTCTTGTTTTAAGACAAAATTACTCAGAAAATTGCCAGCTAGAAGGAGTTTTCAATAGTGGATGGTGTGTAGCTTCCTACAAACTCTTTCATAGTGTTCATTGGCGTTTTTTCAGCTGATAGAGTAGCTGGAAAAGGGAGAAATAGGACCTGCACTAAAAGTGTTACAGGATCCTGCTGGTATTCAAGGACACTCTTGCATAAACACACATTTCTTTTCTAACAAGCACATTTTAACTCTTAAGCAGCCAAAACGTCACTGCCATTTTTGGTGGCTGAGAAAACAAATCTCACAAATTGCTGAATATTTTTGCAGACTCAGCTTGATGTTCTGTAACCTGCTGCTCCCTCTGTTTCTATTTTTGCTTTGATGACAGGTGGACTAGATCCTTTCAGCTTTCAACTGCCCTCTCTCTAGAGTCATGTGTACTTTGAGCTGGTGTTGGACCTGTGATGATCCTTTGGCCTGGAGTTCACATTTTTGAGAAAAAGCTTTGCAGTTAGAACAATTTATTTATGCTTTTGCTTTATGTTAAAGAAAAAAGAACCCCCACAACATTGGAAGATAAGAAAATATTTGGGACCAGATTAGCCACTCACTTGTCAGTGTTTTATGACCAATTTAATTCTTATAATTCTGACATTTTTAAGAAATTATAAGTCTTAGTTCTATTGGTAAAGACACTAAGCTACTCTAGTGCTCCTGGCTGGCACAAAGAAAAATAAACATCTCAGATATCGAAACAGTTGCAATTATTCCTACACAAAGCTTTTGCTACCTTTTACCCTGGAAAGGTAAGGTGTTTGCCCACTGTGGTCTTAGACTACTGATAACTGCTACTTTTTGTAAGGGACAGATGAAGTCAGGGTACCGTTCCTCAAAAAAACCCTGTAGTGACTCTTCCATGCAATCCCATTGCTTTACTTTGAGCTGCCTATTGGTTTTCTTCCAATGTTGAGTGATTTTTTTTTTCTCTTTTGTAGAAGTGAGAGTCACAAAATTGGCTGTTAGGTGATTAAGCAATGTCTCCTCAAGATGTAAGCATCCTGCAACAAGCATGTCTCTTCTTGCCATACAACCAATGCCCGGCGGGCTGGGTGTGCACCCAATCTGCTTTCATACAGTCACAGCATTTGTAACGCTACTTCGGGAAAAACACCTGGGCGAGCCTGGCGGAGGAGGGAGATGGTGGCATGGGCAAGGTGACACCGCACAGGGCTGTGGCCACCAGGCACCACCCCCTGAGCCCCCATCCCAGGCGATGCTCCCAGCCCGGGGGAAGGTGCTCTGCCATCAGCTGCTCTTGGGACGCACGGCTGAGCTTTGGCAGACCTCACACACATCTGCTGCCCACGGCAGTGGTGGTGGCAGCGGGTGAGAGGAAACCCCCAGGTCTCATGGTGCCTCAGCACTTCCTGGGCAGGCAGCGGAGCTCTGAGTCTGCCCTGGGAAAGGACACCCCTTTGCCCAGGAGTTTTGCATCTAACCACAACCAGTTGTGCACCTAACAAAATACATCACCTCTAGATGTCCTTGTCACTTCACCCTTCTGCCAGGAGTTATAACTCCTGTATCAAAGAGCAGTGAGGTCACCACTGCTGAGCAACTTCTCTTATGGCCAGGTGCCCCCTTTTTTTGCTCTTTTAGAGGGGTGGCAGAAAGGCTGGGAGCGGGACCCTCCTCAACAAGGTAAATTGAGCTGCGGCAGTACGAGAAATTCCTCTTCCTGGCTGTTTCCTTTGATACTCTGCCTGAGGTGCTGCCCTCCCACCTGTGCCTCCACATTGCATACTCTACCACTGAGCCTCCTGTAAACTCCCCAAGAGAAGGGTTTGGGCTAAAATACCAGGCTAGAAAATGAGATGTAGGCACATCTTTGCTGTCCCTGTCAGTCTTCTCAGGCAGCTGCCTGCTTACAGGAAAAATAATACAGATGAAAAGCCCTATAAGCAGACAGAAACTTTTTGGCATAAGGAAGAAAAAGGACACAACATAAAGCTGAAAATATAGTGCAATAGCTAGAACGGAGCAGGGATCATAAAGCAGGGGGGTGTGTGAAAAGCAAACAAAAAGGGAAATTGGTTTTGATGGGCTGATGGGAAGAAAAGTAGAGCTGGAAAATCCCGATCCATTTTCCTAGTCTAATAGCAGAGGTGGTGTGGGGCCTGGGTGAAGAGAGGTTGAGCACCAAGGTGTCACTCACCAGAGACAGGATGGTGGCTTTCATGCCTACCCGACACTGGCCAGGGGGAAGGTAGGACACTTTGCATTTTATTACTTGCATGCTCGAAGCAAACAAATTGGCAAGTTACTGGGTATCAAAAATCTTAACTTACTCAGTTCCAGAGGGAACTTTTACTGAACAGTGTGCACTGTGTTTAAGTAGAGTTATAATTATCGACAGGGTTGTTTGGGCTGTGATAATTTTTTGGCACCGCTGTTGTATATATTTGGTTAGAAGCTGACACCTTACAAACACATAGTGTAGGTGAGGGTGTGAAGTCTGTAGATGTCCAGCAGACTTTAACTGCCTGCTCCATCTACATACACAATTTAAAAAGTGTCAAAGTGGGCTTTTTACATTCAGAAGAGGAGACACTTTGATCTCTTTGAGCAGTAGTTGCCCCTCAAGACTTAGAATATTGAATAAATAATATTTTTTCCAGTTGTTATGCCAACACAATATGCTTTGCTGTAACATGTTGTAACATAGAAGTTATATAATTTGAAAATGAAAGTACTAATATCCTGAACAAGCTTTTAAAAATGAAATGGTTCTGACTTTGGATCAAAAGCAGAGGTCTAATTTCCCTGCAAAACAGATTGCAAATCTTTAGTTGCATTTAGGACACAGAGCTAAGCAAAGGCTGAAAAGGCAGAAGCCACAGATTTTTGACATTTATGGACTATTGCCATACCCTTAAATTTGCATGCCAGAGTGGTAGTACTTGTCTAAACACTTTTTTTTAAAGGAAGAATTTAATTAGTTTCAAGCACAGTCTAATTCTCCTTGTCCATGCAAAGTGCTGCTGGTTTTATGGCATCTGCTGAGGTAATGACATTTGTTATTGAAGGAGAGTGTCCATTCTTACATCTTTACAGTAATTTTTATCTCAATTCTTAATTGTTAAATCTAAAGAGGAAGCTTGCATGCAAGCCCCATTGCATTCTGTACAAGAGGTCAAATCTGGCTTTTTTATGCATTCTGCACTTAGCAAATGATACCTTGTGGAACTAAAATGTTCACCTATGAGAGGAGAGAAAGCTCCCATGCTTTGCTTCTTGGCAGTTGACCTTCTTTTCACATTTGTTTAAAATTAGCCTTTCATTATAAGCCAAAGAAAAACACCGCAAGGGATTGTTTTGTTCTTTTCTAATGTATCTTACTTCTGATTTCAGCTTGGGGAAGAGCTGCTGCTGCCACATACCTGGTTGGCTTTATACTTCTAGTCATCTGTTTTGCTCTGGCCATCATAGCGTTTGCCATTGACACACTTCGATTCAACTTCATACGTGGGATTGGAGGCTTGCTTTTTGTCGCTGGTAAGGCAATATATGAAGTCAAATTCAGCTTGTGCAGGTTTATCCGTACTAGAACTGGTATTTCCCTCAGCTGATTCTATACCCGAGTCTTTGCCTGTGTGCACTTGAGCTCTTTGTGAAAAATAACGTAAAGTCTGTCATGGCAGTGGATCGATTTTCAAATCCTCCAAAACATGGGTGGGTTTAGCTATAGCTAAATTATGGAGGCAGGCAACATGATGGGTGTTAGCTTAACCATTTTTTGTTTTCTCCTGTTTCTTCAGCTGTGTTCTCTGTCATGGGCCTGGTCATTTATCCAGTGAAGTTCTCAACTGAAATTGAAATGACGGGTATCAATATGTTCAGCTGGGCCTACGGCTTTGGCTGGACCACCGCCATTATGGAAATATGCTTGGGATTCTTCTTCTGCTGCCTTCCTAACTATGAAGATCAGATCTTGGGTAATGTGAAGCCCACATATTTTTACTCTTCCCCATAAACACCAGGAAAAATATGTTCATATTCCAGAGATATCTGACAGACGAGCTATGTTTTCCAGAATATCATCATCAGATGTTTGTAGAAAAGGCTGGAAACTCTTCAAATGCGTGTAGAAAAATGGTACTGACATTCTGCAATAAAGTTATCTACTCTATTTTGGACCTTCATATCTGATGTGGGTTGGTTAGATAAAGTCTAAACATTAAAACAACCTTGTGTTTCCTCATTCATTCCCATGACTGGGGTGTATGTGGATTCCATTGCATCTTAAATGCATTCATATTTCTAATTAAATTCAGAAAAGCTTTTCAAATGGCCAATAAACAAAACAACAAATATCATCTTCCTGAAGGAAAGCAGCTCACAAAAATCCTATTTCGTAGGTATCATCTTTAACCTGAAGATTTTGCAAATTTTTCAAGAAGGCAAATACCTTTATCCACTGACTGCCAAAGTAGTAAATTAGTCAGCCAGCACTTCATAGGTTTGCTTTCATTTTTCATTCATTCACTTAAGCCATAGGGACAGGGTAAGAAAAGGACAAGAGGAAGCCCCCTACCAAAGCCAGCATCTTGACTTTTACCCATCCATGTGGAATGTAAGTATTTATTTCTAAATTTTTGTAAGAGTAAGCAAGAACCATCAGTAAACCCTTAAAAATCCTGGCATGCCATTACTGGGGCCACCACAGAGTGAGCAGAGGCGACTTCAAACCACCCCTGCAACCTACAGACCTGGTTTGAAGAGGCTCCTCCTGTGGCTTTCTTCATGGGCATCTGCCTCTTTTATCCACTATATCAAAATCTATGGCATTAAAAAGCTCTGTTATAGTGGTCCAGCTCTTTTATCCAGCATAGAAGGGTCAGGAAGGACTTAAGCAGAGGTATGATTCCCCCACACATCAGAATTTGAGCTGGAGCAGTGTGAGTGTAGGTATCAAACATTTGTTAAAAGGCCCCTTTTTCATTGGTTTGCTGTTTGTAAGTATTTTAAAAGTGGGAAGCGTATATTGTCGTACATAACTGTAAAATGCATAAATACCCCTTACCATCTCATACTAAGGCTCTTATGGAGAAAATCACATCATAAACCACCTTTCAGTATCTTATACTCCACAGTGCTGCAAGCCTCGATATATTGAAATATACTCAAGACTCTGCTGGTTTCTGCCTTGTTAATCCTAACTTTATAATGTTCCATTTCTTCTCTTAAGTGAAAAAATGGATAATTTCGCTATATGGAAAAAGAAGTCTGATCGAAATCCTTAGCTACAGAGGATTATTAGCTTGTAACATATCTGCAATTTTGTAACTATGCATACTTTATGAAAAGTGCCCTGCCAAGTATTCTTTACTGCAAAGAGTGAGAGGTAGAAAATTTTTTTAGTGAAAAACTTCTGGGTAGCTAAAATTAATCAAGGCACAGGACTTAACTTGTTGTTTTGAAGCAGCTAACTCCACTCACTTTTAGGAGTGTCTTCTAACTTTGATCAGTAAACATGAGAAATGAGAAATCAGACCAATGGGGAGGGAATAGTTAGACAAGAACTTGCAAATACATTAAGAAGATGTTTCCTACTTGGAAGGAAATTAAAATGAAATAGATTTGAGAAAGCAGTTTGTATAAAATGGCTTGCAATTCTTTGTGTAATATTATCTGTTCAGGAAAAGAATTATCATAAATCTTTTCATTATGCTTATTATACCTAATAAATGATGGTATCTATGTATTGTTTCAAAAATGAGTCTTAGTTTTTGTTCTCTACTAAGACCGGGGAGTTGTGGAAGCCCCCAAAGCCTCCTCTTCTCAGGCACCACCTGGGAGCACCTGGGTACACTGGCTGGATTTTGAGAGGGGAGAGTAACTTACAAATCTAGCATCACAACAGCTTGTATTATTCTTCAGTCCTCTTCTGGCTGTCTCCTGAGGCCTTGTTCACAAGCACATGAGAATAGTTGAATTGCTTTCTTTGCTTATGGGCTATGTGGTGTCAAGTAGCTATGCGCACGATTCTGTGCTACACAGTGCTACAGCTCGTTTTCGCACGGAGGGTAATGCACTCATGTTCACTGAATAGGAAGCCGGTGCAGTCCTGCTCAATGTTTTTGCTCCAACAAATGTGGCAATCCCCTGAGGAAGCAAAAGGGAACTTGAGCAACCACTGATTATATTTACAGTTTCTTTAACATTAGCTGGACACTGACCCAACGTCTGGAGGTGGGGAAAGGTGCACAAAACAAGGTTTAGTGTGACTACAGCCTTGATGAGAGAGCAGAGCGTAATTAAAAAGCAAAGAAAATCTCCAGCGATCATCTCCCTTCTTCCCTCCTCTCCCTTGCTGCTTTCAGCAGCTTCACCACCTCCTCTCTCTCCCTCTCCTCCTCTTCCTCCTCCTCCTCCCTAAGGGTGACAAAGCGGTGTCAGGGCTGGTGGCTGCGGCTCTGCGGGATGCAGCCCCAGTCCCCATTCCCCACTGCCCCTTTCCCCTTCCTGGGTGAGAAGAGGAGTGAAGCACCTTTGCTGACCCCAGAGCAGCAGCAGGGACCCTAGCCTGGCTCCCCGCCCCAGGGTCCCACAGGGAAAGGCTTTCTCTAAAAAACGGAGGGGGTCCGGTGGGTATCCAACAAGCAGAAGCATCGTGGGCTAGAGCTCAAGTGCCTGCCTTTAGGGTAGTTTGCTTCCAGCCATGCCCTGCCTTCAGGGTAGTTTGCTTTCAGTCATGCTAGGCCAGTTCAGCACAGATCCCTAGAAAGACACACCCCAAACTCTGCGCCAGAAAAACAGTGAGAAGAAGTATAAAACTGTTGTACAGATCCCAGTGCTGTTTCCTGTGACTGCTGTGACAGGGGAGCACGGCAAAAGCAGCATGCAAAATGCCATTGGACAGAAAAGGAAGCTAAATCCAGAAGCCAAGGATTTGCCTCAGCTAGATTATTAACTAACTAGGTTATCAACTAGCTAGCTTATCAACTAATTTGTTAAAATAGTCTATAGCCAGGTCAGGTAGATTATTAACTAACCAAATTGTTAGATTAATTTGAGCTAAGTCAGCATCAGAAAGTTTGGATTTTCAAGCAAAGGAGAAATTAGAGGAAGAGAAGACATCCCTTTAGTTCTGCATCTCTGTTTGGCAGGGTTCTTGCTCCAAGTCTTGTCTATAAGAGAAAAGGGCACTTAACCACTAAGAGCAGCACAATAGAAGACTTAAAGTTTCTTTGTGCCCAATGGCAATGCTAAAGAGAGGTCAGGAAAGAACAACTGTCTGCAAGATTTGGCTTTTGAGAACATTAGGTCTGCTACAACAACAGAAGTAAAGACTTGACTGCCAAAAGCATTGCTGCTGTTCCCGTCAAATTAAGAATTAGGGAAACATCCTCCAACAAACACATTTTATCTAATTCAAGTATGCTACTGAAAAGCAAAGGAAAAATTGTGCGGAAAACAAGTGGGATGTCAAGCAGCCCTACATGACAAAATAAGCAAAAGAAATAACGAAAACTCTCTACTGGTAAGTTAATACATTCAATTTAATTTCTGGTGTTTCTGCCAGAGCTTGTATAACATGTGGACTTCTTGGTCTTTTCAATTTTCTCTGCAAATATGCCCATATTTCACTACACATTTTTCAGGCACCTGCCATTTGGTCTTAAAATACAGCCTGCTTAATCAATAATTCAAATGCAATCTAGTTTGCAACTGTATTAAAGTTGTGCATATTTTGTCATATGAACTAATGCTATGAGTGATGTTTTGACCTCATTGACATCACTTGCAAAACTTTTATTGATTTTCTTGCGGCTGACATTTCATCCTTGAAGCGCAAACCCTTTTTTTCACATGTGCTCAGAATCAATACTATCTCTATGGGATGCTTCATTGATTTCAGCAGCTCTGTTTACTTCTGGAGTAGGACAGTAGTCCGTACAAGGTAAGGAACAAGAGTTACAACAGGCAGGATCATTCCCAGAATAAAGGGCAATTCAATATGTGTAAGATTAGCAGAGTCTGGGTCATAATTAAATCGCATTTTGTTAGATACACAACATGGTTGCAGGAGAAAGATTCATTTTTCCTTTTGACACATCTCAGTTGTGCAACAGTTATTACTTCTTATAATTCAGTTCCTTGGAACACTTCCTTGCACATTTCTATATTCACTGGATTTCTGTGTGCTGTGAAGATGAGTAGGTTTAAGAAAAGAATGAAACAATCAAGTTTGTGATAAAAGAGAACAGAATTGGCCCATTTGTACACTCTGTTGGAAAGAGGGAATCAAACCATCTTGCTAGAAGGACGGTGAGTTGAACAACCAAAGAAATACTTCTAAGTCATATCAGAAATTCGAAACTGAGAATTGAAAGACTGCTATATAGTTAATAGTGGGGAAAGAGAGACGAAGGCATGTGCATCTTCCTTCATCTCTTTCCTCACTGCCAAAATATTGCTTTTCCTAGAAAGTTTGGTTTTAAGAAAGAATTGTTACTCTGGTGCAGCTGCATAATAGTATCTAGGCCTAAATTTTATCTGCAAAGTTCTTCAGTGCTAAGTGCCAAAATCTAGAAAAGCACCTGGATATGCTTAAGGTTGCGTATGGTGTGGTGGGGTCATCAGAGCTGTTTACATAGATGGTTCCTTAAGTGACTTAATAAATTAGGGCTCATATGCCTGTCTACACACACTGGTTAGTTCCACAGATTTCCTGCATATGAAGTGATGTAGCAATTTTTTTCAATTTTGCTTTTCATTTTTTATGATCGGAGTGAAAATGTGGATGCATCATAGAATTTTGCATGTGACTGCTGGGTATGAGGAGAATTTGAAGGAACAACTTTCAAAATAGTTTTACTGTTTATGATAAATGTGGTGAGAGTAGATCAAACTGCCCTCTCTTGGATAGCTTTTATGATACATCCTTTTACTTGTGCCACTGTTTGCCTAAGCCATCTTTTTCTGTAAAAACAGTTTTTTGAAAACCTATTCTAATGATCATATCGTACTGAAAAGAAATTATATTAGGTATCCATGGAGAACCCATCGTAAAGCACTTTGAATAGCCCTTGATTGTTCAAATGCAGTTCAGACAGAGAGAGATGTTGCCTGTAGGATTTTTCCTCAAAGTAGTGTAAATCCAAAAGAAGCAGATTCACTCAACTGTTGAC